TCTTTGTTATGGGTATCGGCACTTCTGAACTTGTCCTCTCTCTCTTACCTTACATTCTTGATGATCTGCTTGGCCATTTGCACTGTATTTTTTTTTTTTAAATTTCTGGTGCCAGTCCTGGGGCTTAACCTCAGGGCCCATGAGCTGTCTCTGAGCTTTGCTCCACTTCTGGCTTTTTGGTGACTTTCCTGCCTAGGTTGGCTTTGAACTTTCAATCATCATATCTCAGTCTCCTGAGAAGCTAGGATTACAGGTGTGAGCCACTGGCACTTGGCTGCATTGTATTCCTAAGGAATTCTTCCCTTTGATATTCTAGGATATTTATTCTTCCTTCAGGCAAGTCTATTCAGCTACAGTGATCCACTGTTGAGTTTTTCACTTCCAAGATACCTGGATGGTAGTTTTTAATGTTTCTTTCCTATGTTTACATTACAACCTTCTCTTGTATCTCTGTAAACACACTGATCAAATTTCTTCTGAACTTTCCTTCTGTTTCCTGGATTAAGTCTGCTTCTTCCAATGCTAGCTGTTCTGTATGTAGTCTTGTCTCTCCTTCTCTTTTCCTTAGAAAAGTTCACAAGTGCCTTTTATACTCACCACTGCTTATCTCTGGAGGCTCTGAGGGGCAGCTAGATGTGAGGTCAGACAAGGTGGCCCAGTTCTTTGACTTTTGGACATAGTGGTTTCCTCTTTTTTTGGGGTTTTGTTTACTGCCTGGCACTTTACCAACTTCTCAAAGTCCCAAACCAAACACTAAAAGTAATTTCATTATGGCCTCTTTTTTCTTAGGCTGGGAGGTAGTCTTTACCTTCCCTACTTTCTCTTCCTCCTCTGGTTAAATCAGTGACACTCATCTCCAGGCCATACTGGTTATGTCCTCAGTTTTGAGGACACTGAAAGGTTAAATTGTTTTTGTTTTTTTTTTTTTAATTTTATGTAAGTAATGAGGCTTGAACTCAGGATCCAGGTTGCTGTCTCTTGGCTTTTATTACTTAAGGCAGGTGCTCTACCATTTGAGTTTCAGCTCCACTTCTGGCTATCTTGGTGGTTAATTGGAGATGAGTCTCATAAACTTTCCTGCCCAGGCTAGCCTCAAACTGTGATCTTTAGATCTCAGCCTCCTGAGTAGCTAGGATTACAAGTATAAGCCACTGGTGCCCAGTTTTGAGTTCTTTGATGCTAGACCTCTTCTCCCTCTTCCTGAGGAGGAAGACCTCTTCTCCCTCCATCCCTGGGGCCTCTTGTCTTTCCTCTTCCTCTATCTCTGAGCGTCCTTCTTCTTCCCTCTCTGAGATTCCTCTCTCCACTTCCTCTGTCTCTGAGGTCCCTTTCCTTTCTCCTCTAGTCTTGTGGCCTCTGGCTCTTTCAGCCTGGAGATTTCTTTTTCCTTCCATTCTGAAGACTCTTTGATGTCTCTAAGTTCTCTCCTTGGAAACACTACCTCTTTGGTAAATAGCAAGCTCAAGCCATCACTAGCTATTTCATGGATTGAGTCATTTTGAGTTTGCCCCTCTCTGTGCCTTTGCCAGGAAGGAAACCATTTCCTCTCGCAGGATTCTGCAGTACAGCTGCCTCAGCCCCTGGGGAACAGCGGACCCAGCATGGAGGACCAGAGCAGGACAGGGAGGATGCCCCTTCTCACTTTAATCACTCCTTTCCCAGGGATCCTCTCTGGTCACTTCCCCTACAGCACTGAGACCATCACCTCCATTCTCCTGTCACATCAAGATTCCTGAAAGACTTCACATGAGAGACTGCCTTTTTTTTTGTCGGTCATGGGGCTTGAACTCTAGGCCTGGGCGCTGTCCCTATGCTCTTCAGCTCAAGGCCAGTGCTCTACCACTTGAGCCACAGCGCCACTTCCGGTTTCTTGGTGGTTCATTGGAAATAAGAGGCTCACGGACTTCTCTTGACTGGGCTGGCTTTGAACCGTGATCCTCAGATCTCAGCCTCCTGTGTAGCCAGGATTACAGGCGTGAGCCACCGGCACCTGGGGAGACTGCCTCTTTTCACCCCTGTCCACTCTGCCCACAGCAGATGCCTTCCTCCCTTGGTTATGTAGGGATCGAGAACACATTCTTGTGAAGGTCACCTTGACCTCAGCCCTTCCGTCCCATGGCCAATGGCCGGTCTGTGCACCTGGGTTGGCAACCACTTCCTCCACGTGTGGGAAACACAACAACACCTATTCATTGTTTCTCTAAAGCTGTTTGTCTGTTTTTCTGGCCTCCAGAGGTCCCTTAGATGCCCACTTGTCTTGGGTCTCTTTTCAGTCCCCACGTACTTCCTTCGATTCTTTTTCCTCTCCCATCACGACACCAATTATCTTTTACAGTTGTATGAACATTCCAAATCATCATTTCCAGCTCTAGACTCAAATGCGATCGCTCCTGGGACACCTTGACTGGTCTGTGTGCACCTCCGAACTCTGCAGTGCCATGAGCGCTGGACACCCCCACGTATGCACGCCTGAACACACACTTCCACACACCCACAGGCATGTCCCTTCTCCTCCTCCCTGCGGTCCCTCAGGGCAGACTTGAACTTGGTTCTCCTTTTGTCCTCCCACTAGTCATTCACTACGTTCCCAGCGCCTTTCAACGGCGCCTCCCACCCAGCTTTCCTCACTGCTCCATTTCTTCTTGCCTTCAGGAGGCCCAAACCACACTCTACCGCATCTCATCTGGGCCTGAGCTCCCCACCCCCAGCCTGAGGGCTCCGCCGAAGATGCAGAGCTGACCACTGCTCTTTCCTGCGGAAGAAATTCCCCTCCTTGGGACTGACTCTCGCACTCAGCATAGAAGACCTTCTCCCTTAGGACCACAGCAGGCTGGCAAGTGCTGTTCTCATGGTTTACCTGTTGGAAGCCTTGGATAGGAAAAGTACCTTTCTTTGCTCAATTCATAGATATTATCTAGAACCATCCAAGGAGATCAGACACTGTCCCTGCCCACGGATATCACTGTCCTCTCCCCTGGCACTGATTTGCCGATAGATATTGTCTGCTACAGACTAGCTAATCACCTCTAGCCCTGTGCAATGTAGAAAAAAATTCAAAGGAACTTGTGCATGCGTGTGTGCACGTGCTGGTACTGGGGCTTGAATTCAGAGCCTTGTGCTTTTGCTTGGCTTTTGCACTCTAGGCGGGTGCTAGAGTAAGCCACAGCTCCACTTCTGCCTTTTTGGTGGTTAAGTGGTGATAAAGAGTCTCATGAACTATCCTGCCCAGGCTGGCTTCAACTCGCTGATCTCAGCCTCCTGAGTAGCTAGGATCACAGGCATGAGCCGCTGGTGCCTGGCTTATTGTACTGATTATCACAGCCTGAGAGAAGAAAGCAGTATTTGGGAATGTTTGCATCTCTGTGCCAGTGCTTTCCTTCCTCACCCCTTCTCCAGTCTGCCCAGCGGCACAGGGTCTCCTGTCTGGGCAGGTCAGCCTGAGGCTGGAGGGCAGTGTGCCGGGAAGGCAGTGTGCCCTGTCCCTCTGCCTCTAAAGGCATGGCCATTGGCTGCGGGTCCTCCCTGCCCCGCCTCCTGACAGGCAGCCAGGCTATGGCCCATGGTGACTCTGCCCAATCCCCCACCTCCTCCTCGGCCAGAGTTTCATGCCGCAGCCGCACGCGAGGCCTCTTCCTTCTCATTCCTGTTCATTCCCAGCCTGGCCCCCGTCACCATTACTCCAGCTCAGTGGGTACAGCTACTTTGGGCACTTATCACCAGTGTCCCCCTCCCCCTCTCTCCTGAGTGTGGTTTTGGCTTACAACTTGGCAACCTTCTTCTTGCTTTTTACTTAGGGGTCTCCCCCTCCTTCCCCACCCCCACCAAGGGCTGCTGTGTGGCCAGCCAGACTTCACATTCTAGAAGGTGGAACAAGACCTCACACTTCAGCGCTTGCCAAACTAACGAATCCTGTGCCAGCACACCTTTAAGGAAGCCATGGTTGAATGGACAGGAAGAATGGCAACAGTATGTTCTCTGCCTGATGACACATCCTCTCCCAAAAGACAGGGGTGGCTACATGCCGAACCCTAGCCCCTGGGGAGCAGGCTGGTGCTTTATCCCCCAGTACCTGGAAATGGGAACGTATTTGGAAATAAGGTCTGTGCAGATGTGATTAGGTTAAAGAACTCCAGTCCAATATGGCTGGCATCCTCTTGGGAAGAGGAAATTCAAACAGGTGCAGACGCAGAGAGGGTGGCCCTGGAAGCCGGAGGTCCCAGGCTGATGACAGCCTGAAGAGGCAAAGCCCTGTCTGAGTATCCAAGGCAGTAGCGGTCTGCCGGAACTTCTAGAGGCTTTGGGCCTCCAGCATTGTTGGACAACAGTTTCTGTTGGCTTTACCTTCCCCTCCAAGTCTGGGGTACAGCAACTTCTCTAAATCCACAGATTCAAAATCTGTGGATTCAACTGACTGTGGGTTTAATATGTGAAAATTTTACTTTAGAAGTAAACACGGCCTTTGCATTAGTATTTGAATATACAGTAGCTCTTCATGAGAAAATGTGGATTTTTTCTCTTTTTCCTTCCTTCCTTTCTTTGCTTCCTTCCTTCCCTCCTCTCTCTTTCTCTTCCTTCTCTTTCCCTCTCATTTCCTCCCTTTCTTCCTTTCCCTTCCCTCCTTTCTTTCCCCTTCCTCTTTCTATCTCTCTCTCTTCCTTCCTCCCTCCCTCCTTCTTTGTTTTTCTTCTTCTGCTCTACCTGGTAACATTTTACTTTAGCATTCCAGTCTAGGCAAATTCAAAGAACTCTTCCAAAGGATGGCTCACAAACAGTGGTGGGGCCTGGAAACTTCCTGGCCATCTTCCTCATGGAGCGGAAGTTAGCAATTTCCCTTTGATTTCCATTTGTCCACTGTGTCCCCACCTTTCTTCCCCAGCCTGTGACTTAGGACGAGAAACCACACATGCCAGCGGTGCCCAGCCCCAACCAAAGGCAGGCTGGCACAGCGTGGAGAAGACACGCCCAGCCTCCCTCTGACACCCTGCCCTGGGAAGAGAGGCCCAGACTTACGGTTCTGGGGGAAGCCTGGTGCGTCGGGGACGCCAGTGGAGGCCGCGTCGGGCTGTGGAAGGCCAGGCAGAAGCGCTGGGTGGGGTCTGGCGGGGAAGAGGAGGCATAGATGCGGTTTTCTAAGCGCTCGGGCTCCTGCTTGTAAGACTCGAGAGGAAACGTGTGCTGCTTCGTCACTTGGGTGGGTGTGGATGGGGATGAGGAGACGCTGGAGGCTGTGGGGAGACACCAGAGCCGTTAGCAGTGCTGCCCGCCAGAGGAGGGCAGAGCAGCGCCCTCTGCTCCAAGTACCAAGCCCTCCTAAACCAAACAGCCCGATGATTACATTTCTGAACGTTGGGAAAAAGCTTAAACAACCTTAGAATTGTGCCTGCCATTCACCCTGGGCTGTCCGGGCATCACCGGGGGACAGGCCGCTCACGTCCCCTTCCCCACACTCTACCACTCACAGGGTGTGCTCAGGAGACCAGGGTCATTGTTGTCGAGGATGATATGACAGTATGACAAAGGAAAAAAGAGGCAGGCGTCAGGCTCCCCTGCCCACATCAAGGTACATCTCATCAACATCTGCTGGGGGGCCAGGGCAGTCAAGATCAGAGGAGATTTGGAGCAGGGGTGGGGCTGGAGAGGGGGCTTGGAAAGTGAAGAGGACTTAGATGGACCAGGAAAGGAAGGAGACCAGAGGAAAGAAAGAACTGCAAGGGAGTCCGGCCGTGTGGTGACGCACCTGTAACCTCAGCTCCTCAGGAGACGGACATTGGGAGGATCATAGTTCCTGGCCAGATCAGGCAAGAAAAAAAAGTTCACAAAACTCCATGTTAATGGAAAAAGCTGAGTGTGGGTGCTGCCTGTCACCCCGGCTGTTGAGGGAAGTGTAAAGCGGGACCGTGGGTCAGGTGTGGGCCCTGTGGCAGAAGCAAGACCTTTCTCAAGCTAACCAGCACAAACAACGTCTAGGGGCCTGGCTGAAGTTGGTAGAGCACATGGAAATCCTGAGTTCAAATCCCAAACCATAACAACTGCAGGGAGAGCAAGGACATGGATTTACAGGGGTACAATTGTCCTCTCCACCTCCCAGGGTCCCTGCATTCCAGGAGCCTGTTTCAGCAGGCAACCCTTACCCTACCCCTCTGTACTCCGGAAAGATACAAGGAAGGTTCCTGGGAATGTTACCTTTTTTAGAGATAGGGTTTTGGCAGGTGAAGCAAGTTGGGATAAGGTTTTGCTGGATCAGCATGGACCCTCAGACTATAATACCCTAAGTGTCATTGTAAGAGAGAAGGACAGACAGACGACAGACAGACAGACAGACACAAAGGTCTATGTGATGGCAGAGGCAGAGACAATTTAATTTTTTTTAATTTAATTTTATTTTATTTGTGAACATACTGTACAGAGGGGTTACAATTACATGGGCAGGATAATGCGTACATTTCTTACCAAGCATT